GATTAAAGTGACACTGGCAGATAATAAATCTCGAGAAAAGCTGCAAGTAACTTCTGACTGTTCCTGTTAAATAAGCAAATTGAATTACCCGTTTTGTTCCTCGAATACTTATTTTGGAAAAACATCGTACTTGGAAAAACGGATACTTAGTTTGGAAAGATAACGATGTGACTTAGGCTGGCAAAGAAATCCTGGATTTGTGCTAGAAAAACGTGTGTAGCTCCCAGAGGTTACAATCAGAAACAAATGGGTGCAAGTTATAGAAAGTTGGAGGGGGTAAATTTCAGTGAAATATAGTGAGAACTGATGTTGCTAAAATGGAAAGATATACTGAGCTCCCAAGCCCTAGATGTTAATTTAGGTCCTGGATCAATATCTGTCTGGAGAGTGATCTAGATTAAATGCTGCTTTAAGATCTTTTTCAACCCTAAGATTAACATAATAGTCTTGGAAAGATTATAGTTAAAAATATGACCACAGTCACTGCTCTATGTCTCACAGATCTCTTCTGTGTGGCTAATTGATTTGGGGGATTTGTGTGGGAGTTTAAGTGGGCTCTAGAGTCAAGTTACATTAGGCCTGTGATCCTTTTTCTTATTTTTTCTGGTTTCTACATCAGGAGAGTCTTCATGCTTCAGTGAACTGCCCTAGGATAGGGACAAGCTTGGGAAGTGGAGTGGGTGGGAATATGTTTAAGATACTGCTCTTTCCTAAAAAATGTCCGTTGGCTTTTTTTTTATTTTGAGAAATCCAGAAGGAATGTGAACTTAGGATTGCATGGTGTTAGTGAGTAAAGGAAACTGCTTTTAATTAGGTAGCTCAGTTATTAAAATAGATTATCTTAATTAGTGTTCAGCAAACATCTGATTGTCTTTATAATTTACGAGTTGTTGATATTGGAGTCTGTAGTGGTTTTAATAGGAGAAATGAACCAAACACAAAAATGAGTAATATTCAGTACTTCTCAAGAATTCATTGTCTAAGATGAAAATATTTACAAGTCATTCATAGGGTAGACCTATTAATACACATTGAAGAAGAAAAGTAGATGATTTAAAAAGTTTTGCTTTGGAAATGATTTAGTGGTGATAGTGCAATGCAAATACATAAACTCTATAGCAGCTATTAATTGGGAAGTAGTACTGTCACCTGTTGGCAATACATAGGATACATTTCCCCACTTTTGAAAAGGTGCTTTGCCTTACATTTGCTTAGTTTTTGTTTTTTTTTTTTAACTTAATTTTCATAACAGAATTTTCTATTTAGAAACTTTAATATAGATCCTTTATCTTTATAGTTTAGAACAAAGATTGTTTCTGGGCTACATGTAGAACTAGCACATACGTACTGGAATTGTTTCATTTTGGGAGAGTGCTAGATAACCTACAGGTTGTATCATTTACTTGATCAACACACAGCTAGCTTTATAGTTAGAGTTAGAATCAATACTTGGCTCTTCCTGTCTTAAGGATAAGTGGGACTGGAAGTACGTTATTGTCTTACATGAAATAGGAAATTATAAACCCTATGTAAATCTTAGTCTGTCACAAATATTAAGTTCCTTCTCAAATGATTGCATTAATACAGAACAGTCAAAAGAGTTAGTCATCGAGTTCTTCAGTTACGGGATTTTGAGCCTGATCTGGGTAATAAAGACATGAATTTCTATAATAATTCTATAATAATGCTTCTATAATACTCATACTTACAAGCTGAAGCCTATGTAACTGGACAGATTGCTACCTCCCTGTGATTTCTGTGGTGATTATTTGCCTAAGAAACTGGATTTGAAAGGGGCCATTAGTGAGTAAAGTAAGGGTTACTTTGAGCACTGGCACTGCCATATCTGCATAGTTGATCCACTCGAGACAGTTACTAAATGACTAATGGCATGTAGCATATGCAGTGCAAATGTATGTTGACCAGAGGGACGATTGGCATCCCAGGCAGGATGGAATGGGATGGTACGTAATTTCATCACACTACTTAGGACAGCGCACAATTTAAAACTTACAAATTGATTTGTTTCTGCGATTTTCCATTTTTATATTTTTGGACAGTGATTGACTTGGTTGAGTGGGGGTAACAGAAACCCTCAAAAGCAAAGCCTTAGATAAGCGAGGGACTACTGTATGTATACACACAGTTGTTGTTGAGACAGGGTCTCTGTCACCTAGCCTGGAGTGCAATTGGGCAGTCACAGCTCACTGCAGCCTCAACCTCGCAGGGCTCAAGTGATCCTCCCATCTCAGCCCCCCGGTAGCTGGGACTACAGGTGTGTGCCAACATGCCCAGCTAATTGTTTTTACTTTCAGTAGAGACAAGGTCTCCCTATGTTGCCCAGGATTGTTCCAAACTCCTGGGCTTAAGCAGTCTGCCTGCCTTGGCCTCCCAAAGTGCTGGAATTACAGGTGTGAGCCCCTGTACCCAGCCATTATACATACACAGTTACATGCAAGCGTATTAATGCGCGCACGCACACACAGAGTCCTGCCATTTAACAGTGAAGATGGGCATTGTTAGGTGGTTTCGTTGTGTTATAGTGCATTTACACAAACTTAAATGGTATAACTTACTACATATCTAGGCTATATGGTATAGCCTTTTGTCCCTAGGCAACAAATCTGTACAGCATGCTACTGTACTGAACCTGTAGGCAGTTGTAACATAATGGGAAATACTTGTGTATCTAAACATCAAAATGGTAAAGATAGGCATTATAATCTTAATGGAACCACTGTCATTCATATATGCGTTTTATCATTGACCAAAATGTTATGTGGCACATGATGACTGTGTACATACTATGACCCTCACTATAGTAATTTCTTAGGATAAAGTTGCCTTTCCTGGTTCACTTTAGTTTGGGCTCTGTAAAGCATAGATTATGTAATTGATAGTGCAATGTATTTATTTTACCTATAGTAGCAGTAAGGTAGAAAATTTAAAATGCTACTCTTGCACTTCAGTTGTATGTTTTTTGGAAGACAGGGATTTTGGATGGGAAACCTTAAGTTTTTTAACTTCATTTAGAGGAATGACAATTTTGAATGACAAAGCTGAGAAACTGGTCTAAATGTACAATGTACATTGCAAGATAATAAAAGGGAAGGTTCTAGTAATCTTACTCCTTTGCCAAATCTCACTAAAATTATATTAAATGAATTAAAACAATGTATTTTGTTACCTTGTGTTAGAAAACAAAATGTATATATATATTTCACTTTTCTTTCTTTAAATACTAAATCTTAGTCTGATGCTGGAACCTTACATATTAATAAATAGTACTGTCGTCTGACCCAGAAGCTTCTGCAGTAAAAAATGACTGTCCTAGATAAAGGTTAATTTTCTATCCTGATATCCCTGGAGTTAAGGTTTGTGATCATAAAGTCGAAGAATATAAAGATTATGGTAAATTTTAAGTTCCCATGTTTACCTAAAATAAAAATCCCCCAGTCAAGCAGCAAACAGCTAGCTTTGTTATTTCTGACATCTTGTCAGTTTTGGAACAGGCTTTAAAAATAATGATTATTTATTTTATTTTGGTTGTTGGGGGAGACAGGGTCTTACTCTGTTGCCTGGAGTAAGAGCAGTAGTGCAATAAGGGCTTACTGCAGCCTTGACCTCCCAGACTCAGGTAATTCTCCCACTTCAGCCTTCTGAGAAGCTGAGACTATAGCTATAGGTGCGCACCACTAATTTTTTTATTTTTTGTAGAGGTGAGGTTTCGTCATTTTGCCCAGGCTGTTTTAAAATTCTTGAGCCCAAGGGATGTGCCCACCTTGGCCTCCCAAAGTGCTGGGATTACAAATGTGAACCACAGTGCCCGACCTGTTACTCTTTTTATGTCCTTGTTTACTTCCTGTATCCTGGAATCTGTACCTTTACCTCAAAACTCAGTTTGCTAATAATTTGTGATTATAATATTAATGCAAAATATTCACAGATGATTGTACTTTCACAGAAGAATCTAGCAGGCAACTGTTTAATTTTTAATTGAGGCAACACTTAAAAGTCAGGCAACTCCAAATACAAATCTGGGTTTCAGAGTCCTCTTGAAAATGTGGAAGATCTGACAATACAGTGCTTGCAACTGTCAAGGAAGTTAATCTGCTGGAGTTGAGTAGGATTGTCCCCTTTAGCTTTCCTCTTCTTTTGCAAGTTATTATGTACTGTATGCTAGAGTCTGATGTCCCTGTGCCTTAGTGTGTTGAACTGAGCCTTCGGAAGTTTAAGATCAGTGTTATGTGGGGTTGCACATATGTGTGCATGCTAGAATCTGGTAGATAAAGTACTTGCTTAATACAATAGGTAATAGTATCATGGTTTTTTTTTTGTTTGTTTTTCTTTTAAAGAGCAACCGTGCTCTTTGTTCAGGTAGTAATAGTAAATACACTAATTCACCATATACCAGCCCAGACTGTCTCATGCAAAACTTTGACATATGTACTTTCTCTGTGTCTTAACAGAGGACTGTCAGGATTGCTCCAGCTCGTTGTTTTCAGGTGAAAATCTGGACCCCTATAATCAAAAAAGTATTTTTTAAGTGGGTGTTCATATTAAATCCTTAGAATTTATTTATTTATTTATTTATTTATTTATTTTTGAGACGGAGTTTCGCTCTTGTTACCCAGGCTGGAGTGCAATGGCGCAATCTCGGCTCACCGCAACCTCCGCCTCCCGGGTTCAGGCAATTCTCCTGCCTCAGCCTCCTGAGTAGCTGGGATTACAGGCACGCGCCACCATGCCCAGCTAATTTTTTGTATTTTTAGTAGA